TTTTGTCTTCAAGACATAAACCCATAGTTTCCTGGAACTATTATCAATAAAGGTAACAAAATAAAGTGCACCACTAAAAGATTTTACCATTAATGAACCACAAACTTCAGAATGTACCAATTGAAGCAACTTTGACTTTCTTGAGGGAGGATGTCTCATTAAAGATACTCTAATTTATTTACTAGACATGCAATGAGAACACTTATCCAAATATGAATTCTTTAAACCAGGAATAACATCCTTTTTGGATAAAACATTCAGTCCTTTTTACTAATATGACTAAGCCTTCGATGCCACAAAGATGATTCCATGTCGATAGTATTCACACTGTCCCTAACAACCAAAGCTTTTGCCCGATACAATTTAGAAAAAATTTCCCCTCTAGCCACAACCAAGTTACCTTTGTTAAGTTTCCACTTTCCAGAACCAAAGTGATTGTCATAACCACAATCATCAAGCATATGCACATAGCTCAAACTAAAGCGGACATCCAGAGCATGTTTGACACCTCTAAGCAACAATTTCACTCCCATGTTGGTTTATAACCAAACATCACCAACACCAATTACCTTAGATACACCATCATTACCCATCTTCAACACTCCAAAATTACCAGAAGTATAAGATATGAAGAAATTCTTCCTTCGTGTAACATGCAATGCACCACTGTCAACTATCCGCATGCTCTCGTATGATACGAGATTAATATACTCATGTAGAATAACAAGATCATTATAAGTAGCAGTAGTAACACGATCATCATCATGATCTCTTTGTTTAGACTTACCTTTCTTGCCTTTGTTATCCCTTTTCCACTGATAATAATACTTCTGTATGTGTCTTGTTTTGTGACAATAATGACACTCCATATTCTTGTATCGTGGTTTGGACTTGCTTCTGCTATTCTTTGTACCACCCTTTGGTTCCTTTTTATGACTTCTCCCCCTATTTTCAGTGACAAGCACCTCGGATTAATATGAAAAACCTTATGCCTTCCTTCTCATCTCCTCATTAAGAATATCACCCTTAGTCGTTTCCAAATAAACAACACCTTTAGGAGCAGAACTTGTAATAGAAACTCGAAACGTCTCCCAAGACTTTGGTAAAGATAGCAATAGAAATAGTCCCAAAAGTTCATCACTAAATTTGATACTCATTTCTGACATCTAATCAAGGAGCCATTGAGATTCACTCAAGTGATCTGAAATAGAAGTCCTCTTCTTATACTTCATACTTGTGAAGCTATTCAATAAGAATAATTTATTATTACCTGATTTAGAGGCATACATGGACTCTATCTTCTCTCACAAAGTTTTTGCATGTGTGCCATTAGCATTATGATTAAACATTATCTTCTACATATTATCAAATAAAACCACATACCTGTTGATATTCAAACTCTCATTCTTCATCAGACACAGAATTCGGCTTTACGAAACTAAAAACTGATAAATGAAATTTCTTCATAAATAGTAAGTCTTTCATCTTACCCTTCCATAAATGGTAATTAGAACCACTCAACAATACCATATTCATCTTTGTATTTGACTTCATCACTCAAACAAGTAAAATAGCCCTTTACCAAGAGCTCTTGTGCCATTCTGATGGGAAATTAAGATAGAATAATAGAACAATCACAACGGATATAATATTTCTCAAACTTGTAGGAACCTTGAAGATCAACAACAAATATAAGACGGCAATCGAGCAATAAAGGAACAAAAGAATACTAATATTTTTAACGTGGAAAACCCCTCAACATGAGAGTAAAAACCACGATTCGTTCATATCAAAGAAAATAGCTCCACTATAATCAATTGAGGTTACAAGAGATTCTTAAAGTAATTCACAAAATAGTGATAACAATTGTAAATCACAAAGCAAACTAACTTACAAATAAGAATCAAAAAGCTGAAAATTTTCCTAAATTTGTAGCTTCAGTGAGATCCCAACGGTCTATAGTTAAATATATGTGTGGCAAACAATCCCACCAAATTTCAGCTTGAACGGACGGTGAACGAGTTGGGGATCGTTGTTTTAGTGAGATTGCTGCAGAAAAAACCGGGAATGAATTTCTCTCTATTTTTCTCTCTTTTTGAATCCTTATTTTTCTCTATATCTCTTAAGCCTAAATTGACATTATCCACTTATATAAGTGAGACAAATGGACTATTAATATTTAGGTCTTTCTCCGCATAGGAAGGAAACTCAAGTCCAACAAAAATGACATCTTTTAATACATCTCTTAAATCATCAGCGAATAATATCACTTTTGTAGCTCACCAAAACCACATTCTCTCTCACTCATTATAGAATATGGTTTTGGTGAACTACAAAAGCGATATTGCTCGCTGATGATTTAAGAGATGCATTAAAAGATGTCATTTTCTATAAATCTATAGTTTGCAAGATGTCAGTTTTGGTCCTTCTATACCATTATGATTACTGTTTAATATAGACATGCTTTCCATTTAAGCATCGTACTAATTTATATCCTATAAAGTCTTGTTATTTGGACATACAAAATGGACACCTATGTCAAACAACATATGTAAATACATTCAAATATCTTTACTTTTTTCTTTTGATTAGAAAAGATGAGAGAGAATTTAATAATAAAAAATTAAAATCGTATCTTTATATGGTGTAAGTGTTGCTTTAAGTGTCCAAATAACTTTTATGTATCCTATAATACTCCTATAAGACCATGTGCAATGGGTATGTTGAGTTTGAACTCAACATGCAAAATCTCCTCCAATGGGTGTTGAGAGAGGTGTTGAGTGTGTGTTGGAAGAGAGAGGTGTTGAGAAAACTCAACACAATTGAAGCTGCCACGTGGCTGTGCTTGATTGGCTGACCAGATTTTTATCCATTTAATACTTTGAACTCAATTATTTCGTTGCAAATTAATTTTTTTTTTTTTTTACCAAAATTCATGATTTTTTTTTCTCTATAAATAGAGACTTGGTTCATTTGATTTGGACACAGAAAAAAAACTAAGTTTTTCACTATCTTAATTTTATTATTAGTGTTTATTTTGAAGTTAAGTGTTTTTTTTAGTGAAATGGATCCCAATAATCATTTTAACACTCAAAATTCTGCTAATTTTCCATTTAACCAAAATCCCAACATGAAAATAATAAAATTAAATAAGAATATGAAAATAAAAAGTAAAATTTAAATCCCAACATTTAACCAAATTCTGCTAATCATAAAAATAAAAATAAAATTTAAATAAGAATATGAAAATAAAAAGTGGTGGGGTAGGATGTTGAGTGAAAAACCATTGGAGAGGGTAAAAGTTGAATGAGTGTTGAGTTATTAGGTGGAAGAAAGAGAAAATGATGTGGAGTGTTGGGAGTTGAAAAAGTGGGTGTTGAGTTTTTCAACCATTGTAAATGGTCTAATATTAAGCTTTTATTATAAAAAAACTGCTTCTTAATTTATCCACCAGTTAATACATGATACAAAACTGCTTCTTTCTTTACCGTTCAATTTTTTATTTTATTATAAGGATATATATATATATATAATTTTATTTTTATAAAACTTCAAATAAAAATTTAATTTGAATAGTTATTTTTAAAATGTTATTTTAGATATTTTATCTTTTTATTAAAAAAAATTTTAAATATCAAAATTTCTAAAAAGATCACTTAATTTTGAAACTACAAATAGATTCATATAAAAATCTTTTTTTTTAATACAATTTTTTTTTTAAAATTAAAATTTTAATTATGTTTTAGTCTTCAATAATATATGTTTATATTATACGATGTCAAAATTAATATTTCAATTTGAAAAAGACGAATATAAAAAAACTTATAATAAATAGTTTTGTAAAATCTATTTTCAAAAATAAAATAAAAAATCATTTTTCTAAAACTGAAATAAACATATCCTTAAAAATTGATTCAAAATGCTTATAAACATAGCTTCCCTAACATATCCTTAAAAATTGATTCAAAATGCTTATAAACATAGCTTCCCTAACATATCCTTAAAAATTGATTCAAAATGCTTATAAACATAGCCTCCCTAACATATCCTTAAAAATTGATTCAAAATGCTTATAAACATAGCTTCCCTAACATATCCCTAAAAATTGATTCAAAATGCTTATAAACATAGCTTCCGTAACATATCCTTAAAAATTGATTCAATATGCTTATAAACATAGCTTCCCTAACATTCTCGACCCCATCCTCTCTCAGGCCACTTACTTTTATGCTTAAGATTATTTCTTCTCTTACTTGAAATCACACCATAAAAATATTTTGAATTATCATTACCATCCTAAAACCATACAATTCTAGATTTTTGCCACTAAATAGTGCAGTTGATTCTAGACAAAGAAAAAACTGAGCAGATAGAGAACACATGTCGTCCACTTCTCACTCATCACAAGTGTTTCTCTTACTATCAAATTAGTGCACATGATTATCTCAATACATGTCACATATTAAGCTTAAGTGTTGAATTATGTAGAAAGCTAGAAATGGAGTTGAATTAATTGGCGCATTGTAAGTTCCCCAACATTACAAAATCTCTAATATCAAACCATTTTAAAACAATTTATTCTAATAGGCAAAATTTTAAGTAAGAAAATTTCTATTATTGAAGTACATTTTCCAAATCAGTCCGCAACTCATGTTTTCTAAAACTCATTTATCATCACATTATGAAAACTGACTTTGAAAACCTTTTGAATACTACAGCAAAGAATCTTCATTTGAATAATAAAACACAACAGGGAAATCAAGACTAATTATTTGACTAATTAACTTATAGATTATATGGCACTAATTAGATCTTATACCGAGTCACTTAAATATCAATTTTTTTACCGCAACACCAAATTAAAAACAATTATTGAGTAGAGAAAAGGAGTATATCAAATAAAGGAAGAAAATCCAACATCATAAATGAGTCTCAACAAAAACTTGAAATAACCCAAAATTTCAAAATCTCAACAAACTAATTCATTCTCCAATCTTCTCTTAAGCAACAAGGGTACTGGCAGTTGTTGATTCACTGCAATAGATGTAAATCAAACAAGAATTAGTGAGCAATAAGATGAAACAGAACACAGTTAAACTTCTAAGATACATATAATAAATGAACCAAGATAAAGATGCAATAGTTGTAAACAAAACAAGTATTAGAAATGAGATGAAACACAACAATATATTGTTAAACCATGCAAATTAATGATGTGTTCTACTAAATCAATCAGCTTTATGAATCTCTAAAAACTGAAGGATTAAAGACTGAAAACCTACTATTTCCATACTGGTGGAAGCTTCTTTGTCTTCTTGTAGTAACGAGCAAGACGATGGATCCTGCTCTCAACCAAAATGAGCCTGAACTTCGAATCCTTATCCTTCCTGTTCCTCTCCAAATGCTTCCTGATGGAGACAGCCTTCTTGATCAAGTGATACAGATCTTCAGGAATTTCAGGAGCAAGACCTAATAAAAAAGACATTAAAGAATAACTCAGTCATCAATTTGAAAACACCAAATGGTTAAGTTATACTAATCAAAAAATGTGTGGATAATACCATGAGCCTTCAAAATGCGGAGAATCTTGCTTCCAGTTACACTCTTAACCTGGGCAATTCCATGGGAGTCACGAAGAATAACACCAATTTGGGATGGAGTTAAACCTTTCTTGGCAAACTTGCAGATGGTTTCATCAACCTTTACAATCAAGAATATCAGACATCAGCAACAGAATTCACACAAACATTACTTCCATGTAAGATCAAAACTAACATCAAACTACCATGTAAGATGGCAGAATAACAGATAGATTGCCAAATACATTGCCTAGGCTTAATAAATTGAACAATAGAGTTGGTTAAAAAATAAATTTTTACTTCAAGCTACTACTGTTTTCCAAGCATAATCCAATTAGAATTACAAGAAAAACAAATGCTTCAAACTGTGTATACAAGAAAAACTCCTATATTTTGTATACAATAACCTTCCCAAAAACCTAGGTTACCCAATGAATCATAGAAAACCCTAAATTGAACATCAAAGTAAGACATACACACATTAACAAACTCTAAATTACAAATAAATCATAACAGTACAACAGAGCTAGATTTTCAGTAAATAATCAGATTTCGAGATAACAACCAGAAAGACACAATTCTGCAGGACTTAAGATGAAACCAAATAAAAATTCAGAAAAATAACAAAATAAATTATTAAAATGGGTTTCGATTTCATACATCCTGGGAAGAGATCTTGAGCCAAGAAGGAGCAGTCCTCTTGTATGGAAGAGCTGAACTGGAAATACCCTTACTGAACGAAGGATAGGAACAAAAAATCGTTAGAGAACAAGAAATTTGAAAACGAGAGAAATCTGAAGCATCATACATACCCTTTGGAGTGCAAGCGACCCATGATGAGTGATGGAGAGGAAGAAAACAACAAACCCTAACTATGCAGTGCCTGCGCAAGTATCAGAAGGAGAGGGAAGAAGGAGACCCTTGAATATATATATGAATGCTGAAAACTAGGGTAAACTTGGATCGATCCATGTAACATATTGGGTTGGGCTTTCTGTAAATCGGCCCAGCTTTCCCAACTCATGTTTTTAAACATTTGCAAATAAAGTGTTTTATTCAAAAATCATTATTTTTTCTTGGATGTTGTTTTTATTAAAAAGAATTAATAAAGAAAATTAATGATAAAAATAACTATGATATTAACATATAATACTCTTGTACTCTTAACATATCTTCTAATAAGGCTATAAATGAGTTTTTAACATTGGTGGCGGCTCTAACAAGTAAATACTAGACTCAATTATTATTGCGTGTGGGGATTGTAAAATGCAAATTGTTTGTTTAATCCTCAAAGGAGTCACAATGACATGGTTTGAAGCGCTCATAGAAAAAAGCATAAACTCATAGAGGGAGTAACGTGACTATTTTGTCGCTCAATTCACTACTATGGTCGTTCTCAGTGGGATCCAGCTGAAGAAGAAGGAGATCATACGGTAGTACATCAATCGATTCACCAAAGTAGCATGCAAGTGAGGGGAACAAATTACATATTAAAGTGTTGGATATTAAAAAAAATAGACTAAGATTAGATTGTATATGTTCTGCTAGAAGTTAGGGTTATAAGGGGCATGTAACACAAATAATATTTTAGTTATGACACAATCCTATATTAATTATGAGGAAGAACTTTTGGTTTGAGAGGTTGAAAATGGTCGGGGAGTCGAACACCTGGGAAATTGGTTGGGAACCGGTAGGACAAAACAATCATTGCATACACCTTTAAACATTTTACTAGAGAAACTTTTAAAGAATTGTATGAATACCAACATCAAGGAAGCCGGAATAAAAAACCTCTACTCGACCAAGGAATCCGCCCGAAATGACAAAATAAGGTATTGTGATTTCAATAAGAGTCATGGTCACAACACCAATGAACGCATCCATTTGAAGGACGCAAACGAGGATCTGATAAAGAAGGGGAGACTCACCTGATACAACTAAGAATACAGGCGAAAATATGATCAATCAGAAAGAAAGATAGCAAGAAGTGATCCCTCGCATGGAAAAGAGTCCCCTAATAAAACTATAGATGTTGTAGCCAAAATTATAGAGAAGAAAGATGGCAGCAACGAAGAGTAAAAAGACTGAAAAGGAAAGTGTCAGTACATCACATCCATTACTATAGGCCTTCTTAGACCAAGGAACTCGTCCAAAGGCACCATTAAGAGAAGAATTTCGAGTTAATAGTAGTGAGCAAAAAAGGAAAGGCAGTCTCTGAATGGAAGTTGGAAAGACCTATCCTCGAGTTTTGCGACAGTGAAAAGGTGTATGGGATCCTAAATGAAATAGTTCCCCTATTAATAATAGCAATCATGAGCAACTTAGATGTTTCTAGAATCCTCGTATATAAGAGTCTTGTATGATATCATGTATGCAAATATTTTTTATAAGCTCAAACTAGTGAAGGAAAAGTTCTTATTGTACTAAGTATCTGACTTATAAGCCTTCAACGACAGGTTAACTCGCCCCTAGGGATAGATAAAATTGATAGTCACACTTGAAGACGGGAGAGGTACCAGAACAATTGATTTGTAGTTTTTAGGTATCTCTTGTAAGAGCAACTAAAACTACATCACATGCAGACATTTCGCAATAACATTAGATGTGGTGGCCTCTCCAGTCCACTTGAAGATGAAATATACTAATGTTCACAGGACCCAGTAACGTTATGTGTCAATATGGTCAGAGTTTAGAGGATACACAAAGCCTTATAGCGCGACAGAGAAGACAAAGGTGTTAAGAACGCGATTGAGGCCAACACATAGCCTTCCACTATGTACGACATAAATGATTCTAATATTGACAATTATATAAGGTAGGTACATAGGAAGACTAAAGCCACAAATATCTAGAGGTCAATAATTAGCGGCACATTCTCTTGGTTAAGTTTCCCTATTATACATGTATAAAGTTTACTATAATACGTAATATCTCTAACGTGCAATAAATAACATTTCCTCCCAAATTTCCCCTTTATGATCACAAAGTCCACACTCATCCTCGACTCATATGGAGAATTAAGAAATTAACATCACGGTAATAGGTCATCTCACGGGGATTTTAAATCAAACTCAGCACATGGAGAGAGAAAACCCAAGGAGTAAATGCTTATCTCAAGACTTATTAGAAGGTATATTGCCCTTGTCTGGTTGCTTGGAGGCACGCCATAACAGCAAAGTCGTAACTGGAGGGCGTAATATCCTGCTAGAGATTTTGCATTACTTCTCAACACAAAGGGAGAAAGAATTCAACAATTAAGCACATGCTTTGTAACTTTGCAACCTTTGCTTGATCACAATCCGACCACGGAAAGAAATCACACTCAATCGAAGAAATCCGAATCAAGACTTGATTGGGGAGAATGAGATTACAAACCCAACATCAAATAACAACTCGAAGAAAGTCTGAACCAAGACTTAACTGGGGAAGAAAATAAGATTGCAAACCCAATACCACACCACAGCCTGGAGGAAACCCACTAACTGATCAGCTACCGTAGAGGGAACCATGCACACCTCTACAGGGAAAATCATGAGAAGCAGTCCTGCTCGAGGAAGATCTTCGGCTTGGGGAAGAACATAGTAATTGCCTTGACAAAAATCTAGAAATTCCCTTGAAAAAAAATTTGGTGTCCCCGGTTTATTGTGCTGGTCGAGATATTTTTCACAACTTGCCCTTGGATGTATGCTTTTAAGATAATTTTCCTGACCAAAAATGTTCCCTGAGATTCGTCGAATCTCGACGTAACTGCCATAGATTAGATGAATGTTGCATCTTCTTTGCTCGACAACTTAGATACATGCCCTTTTATTGATACTCAAATGTAAGCTTCTTTGATATCAAGCAGTGGTCTTACAAGCAGGACAATATTTATTCTAAGAATGATAATTATAATGCAACAATTATATAAGTCTTGAATATTTTATTGAAAAGATTTCGCAAAACCTTGTGAGTGAATCACTAGGCAGGATACAAAATTGATTTTTTTTGTATAAAAGATGACAAAAGCATATGATATCAACATAAAAATTTAACAAAACTCATGGGAGTCATAAAACGCTATCTCATTGAAATACGCTTTCGAAATAAACCATGTTTCAATTAGGACTTTTGAGGGTTATAACGTGGCCTGGTTCACGGTTTTTAGAAAAAATGGATTTTAAGGCTCAAAATTATTTGGTTCCCACCCCCTTCATTATGTTCCCTAGTCCTGAGTTCAATTAACTCGACCCGAACATTCATCTCTCAAAAGAAATTTCGAGACGGTTGAGGAACCAACCGAGGTTTTCTTTGGATATGACAGTTGTTGTACCCCAAAATTTGCCCTCCCATTTCTCAAAGGATCATCCTGGACTCTCAGGTCTGTTTCTATCAAATTCCAAGTCTTGAATTACAACTTTTCAAGAAAATCACTCATAAGGGCAAAATGGTCATTTGCACACCAAATGAGTCAAACTATGACTTTTGAATTAAAAATCAAGTTCCAAGAATCATATTTCATTAAGGCATGAAATTGGTTCATCAAAAATCAAAAGTCAGAAGTTACTTTGAAAATCAAATTTTCTAAACGTTTAGGAAATTTTCTAAGTGTCTAGAGAATATGATACTTCAGAACTTCTGAGCCAGGCTCTATGCAAGTGCAGTCAGAAGTTGCAAACACGGTTAAGAACATGATGCTTCAGTCAGAACATGATTCTTCAGCATATGGAGGCTATGTTCAACGCTTCGGTCAGAACATGCCCCTTCAGCATTTAGAGGTTACATTTCTGATCTTCTGACCAGATTATCACCATAACACTCAGCAAATTCTGGATACTCTCAAGGCAGAGTTTGGTCAGAACTTCTGGGCAGGTTTTCACAAAGGATTAGTCAGAGTTTTCCAGGGTAATTCAAAGAAGGTTACAAGGTGTGCTGCAAGCTTCCCAAAAAGTCTGAGGGCTCCTTCAGAACATGTTGGAGCCAGAAGATACAAAGATCAGAAGTTGGATGTTCACTCTAAATGATGTTGAAGCTGAACTTCTGACCCATAATCAAACAATGAGGCAGAGTTTCACATGGAAGGATTTATGATTTGATAAATATCATCATCATTTAATGCTCATTTAATGCTCACAATCACTTTTGAGTCTTTATCCAAAGGATTTCCCCACGTGTGGCATAAAAGTACCTTTGTTGTCCTTGAAAAGCAGATTTTGTACAAAGTATATGCTGGGCCCATGCTTCGCTTTTGCTTCTGAGGGTACTTTTCCTTGATTCATGCTTACAAATCCAGCTTAGGCGTGGTTAAAAGCTGCGAACCACCTTACTTTGTGCCTTGAACCATACTTGTTTGAACTTGCTTCAAGAACAAGTGCCTAGCATATGATGGTTGTACCTTTGATTTCTTCAAGCTACTAAATCCTTGCCTATAAATTGAACTAAATTTGAAACCGTGAAAGGGTCGAAAATTTGAGAAAAGAAAATCCTTGAACCCCTGCCAAAATTCCAAGAGTTCCAAAAACTATAAACACAACATACAAAAACTGTTAACTTTTGATTCCTTGCATTCAAACTTCATTTGTCCTCAAGTGCTTCTTGACTAAAACCATCCAAACAGTTGTTGATTCACATATTAGAAGTTATCCTAACTTATATGTTCATACTGCTATACACTCTCCATCCACCTCCACCTCAAAGAAATCAGAATATCACCCATTTGTTGTTCCAGAAGTTGAAAACTTCCAGCCTGCTGAGTACGTGAAGAAGCTGCTCAGAACATCATCAGAGTTAAGGTTAACTCTGGTTCACAGAATCTCTTCCAGTTGCAAGGTAAGCTTTTGCTGACTCTCACCATAT